GAGGGCTGTGATACTGCCCGGGTGCCCAAACCGAAGCAGGTGGTTTTCTTATGGGGCCACACCCCGAGCCTTCGACCTGAACGTCTAACCCACAAGACAGTGGAGCATCGTGAGGAGATGCAGTCACATGGTAGCCAGTGACCACCAATGGTTGGTTCATACGCCATTTGATCCTTCAGGATACTGAGGCTCATGTTCACCATTGATTTCGGATCCGGTTATAGCGCCGGAAATTCGCTTTTCGTCCTCTCATTTTCGTAAACAACACCCCCGCCACGAGAAGGCAGTGAGTAGGACTTCCCTGGCAGAGGCTATATACGCGTGGCCATGTGAGAGCATTTCGAGAAGGAGAGCGGACTCTCCGCACTCTCAGCCGTACCAGGGCATTTGTGGTCCAGAAAATTACATTATTATTGTTTAATAAATAATTTTAATCATTTTTTAAGATCTACAAAACTATGTCTCCCACTTCATTTAAAAAATTTCAGATCTTTGTAATTTAATCAAAGTTAAAAGTATAATGTTAGTTGCTTATTTGACAGATAATTCCCATTTAAACATTAAAATCTCAAGGAATTATGTGGAAATTGTAATAATTTCAATAGTTGAGATCATGAGTCAATTGAAGCTAGACCACCTTGGAAAAACTGAAACCACTGAACGGCCGTTTCGTCCTGTTATTGGAGTCCTCAACAGTGCACATCCAAGACCCCGCTCCGCTGGATTCGGACTCAGGACTGATGAGGATTCCCACGATAGGATGAATCGGTGGTTCAGTGCTTCCAGATTCTCCATGATGGTCTAGCTTCAAATAAATCATGATCTTAACCACTGAAATTACTATAATATCCACAAAACCCCTTCTGATAATAATCAACATATGCTCACTAGTGACTGGCTTCAAGATGTATATCCTGGAGTTCTAGTGAATAGTAGTGACCAATGGAGTTCAACCAGGTCTGTTGTGAGATAGTAACTCACTGAAAACAATGGTGGATATTTCGCTGAATTTTGTGGATTGGTTGAAGTTAGACATTAGCACTGTCCGTTGGATGCCGGCCGGGTCAGTAGTCTAGTGAATAAGTGCTCGCGCACGAAACTGACAGGTCCTAAGTTCGAATCTCGTAGAGATGGAGGTCGTATATGCGCACTGCTGACGAGTTCTACAATAGGTTTTTCATGATGATCTAACTTCAACTGACTTATGATATTAACTATTGAAATTTAACATTATCATAACATGTTCCACATATATATGATCTTGATTGCAAAGATATATTCTTCCTTATTATTGATATTTAAGAGTTCAAATAAATGATCTCAATTAGTATATTTATATATTAAATAGAATGATTAAAATTTTGTCATTTATTCATTAGTTTTAATTTCATTAAACTTATAAAATACATTGACACTTGTCAATTGTTAATATGAACAAAATGGAATACATTGACCTTAACAAATAAATTTACTATATTATATTTGTTCATCAACTTATATAAGTTAATTTAATCTAAATGGTTATTAAATGAACTATATAAAAAAGGATTCCTATAACAAACATTGACAGAAATTAATCAATAAAAATAAATGAACTAACTATTTACTACTTAAATAAACATAAAAATATTTTTCAAAAAAACGCATTCACAAAGGTATATAGTTCTTATCATATTACAATTGCATAGAAACAATCCTATTTGTATTACTGAAGAAAATAAGAAAATCAACAGAAGATATGATAATCAATAGAGAAGCTGACATAACTTCAGATCATCATTTACCTGATAGTTGTCAAAATGACACTGAACCTGAAAAAATACTGAACTACTGGGAAAATAGTAGTTCAATACAAAATAACTCACAACAATAGGTTACAAGTCTTAGATGATCTACCAAAAGAAGAAAATACTAGAGAAGACAAATGGAAAGGGATTGAAGAAACATTAACTACGACTTGTTAGAAGGTACTGGGCCACGAGAAGCATCATCATCATAAGGAATGGATCTCTATCAAAACTCTAGACAATTTTCAAGAAAGGAAGAACAAGAAGACAACAATTAACAATAGTTGAACAAGATCAGAGAAAGTCAAGGCACAATCTGAATACACAAGATTAAACGGTCAAGTAAACAGGAGCATTAGAGCTGACAAATAAAAATGCGTGAAAGACTTAGCAACAACAGAGGAAAAATCTGCAGGAGAAGGAAGCACGAGATATCTATATGATATAATGAAGAAACTGATAGGGAAATATAGTAAATCAGAGAGAGCACTCAACGAAAAACAAGGCAAGCCATTCACTGAAATTCAAGAACAGCAGTACATACGGGTAGAACACTTTGAGGAACTCTTGAATAGACCAGCTCCACTGAATCCACCGGGTACCGAAGCAGCACACACAGACCTTCCTATAGATGTCACTCTGTGGTGTGTGCTACTTATATAGACATATGTGTTATGTAACGTGAGTCGTAAACAGAATGTCTGGCAGCAGAGAGACGAGAGGATCAAACAATAAAGAATGAAGAAAGAATGCAATTTGTATGAAAATACAAGAACAAAGGGATTCTGAGTCATTTGAGACAATTGATGAACAATTTGAAAATTAACGACTTAATATATGGTTCGCAGATTTTATTGAGATGCTCTGTAATTTGTTGTTAAATACATTTGATTGTCCCCAATGGTGTTCTCTTCACTACAACTCTACCAACGATCGAATAAATCAGAATGGCCGTCAGACAGATCAAGAGCGGGAAAGCAGCAGAACCTGGAAATATACCAGCTGAAGTACTGAAATCAAACATATAAGTAACTGCAAATATGCTGCATATCCTATTGAAGTAAATTTAGGAGGAAGAACCGCTCATCAAAATACCAAAGAAAGAAGATCCGAGCGAACGTGAGAACTACAGAAAATTTGCAATACTATCGTTACCAGGAAACGTTTTCAAAAGAGTGTTGTTGGATTGGATAACAGGCACAGTAAACGCAAAACATTAAGGTCAACAGACCGAATTCCGTGTGGATTTATATAAATTTAATAAGATGGAAACTTATGATGAAGTTTTTAAATTCTGATTGGTATCAAAATCTAGCAGATATCTTTCGTTCCATTTGGGATCAATCACCTGCTTCAATGATCACTAACATTGTTGTTTTTTAGTTTGAAAAGAGCAAGAACAAAGATCCTAGCAGAATAGTATAAATTCACTTTATTTCATTGGTTCTCGTCAGTTGTTTACAACATGTGATATTTAAAAGTCAATACTATAAATTTCGTTACAGTTAGGCATTCTCTGCATCAGTTCTGCAATATAGCAGTACATTTCTCTGTAACACACATTCAACTTGCAATCATTCAGATATTCAATGGTTAATAAATGTTTATTCAATAGTTATTCTTTTTCACATATCATAAACAGTGTGTGAATTTCAACATGTTCGTCACTAGTTATATTTAAAGAGTCAAGGAGAAGGAGATTATTCCAACGAGTAACGTATTTTTATTTTCACACTCAAACACACACAACTACACAACGACTTTTACTCCTCTTGGAGGAGAATAGCCCAACCATCGGCACTCACCATCCAACCCTGTCCTGGGTATTCCTTTCCAGTTCTTATTCATCCCTTTCATATCCGCTTCTATTTCCCGACGTAATGTGTTCTTTGGCCTTCCTCTTTTCCGCTTCCCTTCAGGATTCCAAGTTAGCGCTTTTCTCGTAATGCAGTTTGATAATTTCCTCAATGTATGTCCTATCCATTTCCATCATCGTTTCATAATTTGCTCTTCAGCTGGAAGCTGGTTGGTTCTCTCCCACAGTAGGTTGTTGCTGATGGTATCCGGCCAATGGATGTTGAGTATCTTGTGTAGACAGCTATTGATAAATACCTGTACCTTCTTGATGGTGGTTGTTGTAGTTCTCCAAGTTTCAGCTTCGTACAGTAGAACTGAGTGTCTTGACTTTCGTATTGAAGATTGTGACTTTGATATTGGTTGAAAGTTGTTTTGAGTTCCATATGTTCTTCAATTGTAGGAATGCGGCGCTTGCTTTGTCAATCCTCGCTTTTACGTATGTATTTGATCCTCCTTGATCATCATTGATGCTTCCCAGGTATGTGAAGGATTCTACATCTTCCAGAGTTTCGCAATTAAGACTGATTGGATTGGTATTCTCCGTGTTGTATTTGAGGACCTTGGTATTTCTCTTGTGTATGGTTAGGCCTATTCATACAGAGACTGCTACTACGCTGACTGTCTTTATCTGCATTTGTTCGAATGTATTGGATAAGTGATCTAAGTCATCTGCATATTTTGATTTTAGATATCTAATATTTATAATTACCATGTTATAATATTGAATTAGTATAACAGCTACAATTCATAATTATTCAGTTCAAACAAATCTCAATCAAGAATGTTTATAATAATATTTTCCTAATTAAAGAATAAGTAATTGAAACGTTCAAATCCACAACTTCATTAAGGGTCGAACACAGAATCTTAAGATCTCTTTAGAATCTCCAATCTTTGAAATCACTGATTTATATTGTTTAACTTTAGTTGATTCATAATACTAGGCAATATATATATATATATATATATATATATATATATATATATATATATATATATATACAAAATTACTTTTAAGTATAGAACATCAGTTTATTTGTGATTGTATACGTGTACATGATATATTTCTATCATTGTTTATTTTTAGCACCAATGTACTTTTCATTTCAACAATGTTGTATGTTCTGTCTGCATTCCTCTATTTTTCCTTTATATACATTATTATTATTACTATTATTATTATTATTGTTATTATTATTATTATTATTATTATGTATAATAATCATAAGAAACATTTTATTGCAATATTCTTTCATTTAAGGTTAAATATAATAACAGTAAGACTTTCTACAATCTCATTTATCTGATTATATAATAAATGTACTAATTTGTGTGAATAAGTCCCTATGTGTTTGTATTTGATATTTCTTAATCATGAATAGAAATAGTTAGTTAGTTAGATAGTTAGATAGATGGATATGAAGGTATCTACATGGTTTTCTTTTTATAATACTCCTGTGTTTTCTTATTTTTATTTTTATTTTTTTTGTATTATCTATAAAAGAAACAGAAAAAGAAAATTTTGTTATCTCCTATGCGTAGGTGTATATTATGACCAAGTCATTAAGCTTTAATTTGATTGGTTCAAAATGTTGAAGGTCATGGAAATAACTTTCACCATATATATATATAAACACACACACACACATGTATATATATATATATATAGATACTTTTTTATCCCAAATAAATTAAAAATTGATTGACATTGGTGTAGATCATCATCTGGAACCCGTTACATAATTTTACAAAAGTTAAAACAGAGAAATATACACTTATCTATATATATATCTATATCAATATATACACACCATAGTATAATACTATACCACAGAACGTCTTCATACAAATACTCATATTACTATTATTATTAATTAATTAGTTAATTAATAATAACACTAATTAATATCAATTAATTTATTATCTAATAATAATAATAATTATGTAAGTAATATTTTACATTTTATTTTGATAAACATATATATACATATATATATTTCAATAGTTGAGATCATGAGTTAATTGAAGCTAAACCATCATGGAAAACATGGAAACACTGGATGGCTATTTCATCTCATTGTAGGACTTCTAGAATTCTAGTGAGAAACATTGACCAGTGAAGTTCAAACGGATCTATTGTGAGATAATAACTCACTGAAGATAATGATGAATGTGTCATTCAATTTTATGGATTCATTAAAGTTAAATATTAATACTGTCTGTTGAATACTGGCCAGCTCAATAGTCTAAAGGTTAGACATTTATGCGCAAGACTGATATGTCCTGGGTTTGAATCTTGCTTTGCAGAATCATAGATGCCCGCTGCCCAGAAGTCCCATAATAGCACGAAACCATCGTCTAGTGGTTCTAGGTTTTCTATGATGGTCTAGCTTCAATTAATTCATGCATTATTATAATATCCGCGAAACGCCTTCTGATAAATATATATATATATATATATATATATATATATATAGAGAGAGAGAGAGAGAGAGAGAAAAACGAATCGATCAAAGAAATTTCTTTTCAATTAGTTTTTCATCATGGCTTTACATTAATATCTATATCTATATGATTTACAATAATCAAATAATACTCATTGAGTAGATACGTTACGTAATAATTATATAATGACATATCGATTATAAATTACCATTAAGTAATTGTAAGAAAGAGGATTAATAATAATCATAGTAATTATATGAAAATCAATTAGTTGCTATGTTGCATAATATACGGAGTAAAGAGAATAAGGTACTCATAAATTATTTTTGATGAATGATCAGTAGTATACTTGTTATGTAAGAATCAAGTGATAAATATTAAGAATAAGTAAAGTACATAAAATTTCACTACATCTATATGTATATATGTAACTTTAAATTGATATTTTATTGATTTAATGATGTGACATTTTTATGTGGATACATTTATGGGAACAATTAGTGAATCACTTCAGATTTGTTATATTGAAATATTGAATACACGCTAGTGTTACTATATTAATATTATATCCCTTGAAATATACAAAATAAATGATATTTGAAATCTTATTTCTCTTAGAAATATATTAATTTCATACATATATAGTTCTCTTTATTATCTTAAAGAGACTAGGCAACGAAGATTGATGTAGAATAATAAAAATGGATTCATTTGATTCCGTTAGGTTCTCATTAGCTGCTTACAATCTAAACTATTTGAATATCAATGTTATTACAGTTATTGACATACTCTTATGTATCAAAGGGTAATGAAAGATAAATATATATGTATATCATGATGTAGCAAAGATTACAATCAACTTCAATATGGAAATAAAAAGTTTGGTTTTGGATAAATAGAGTTTGGGAGAAAAAGTTCCAGAACATTGAAATAATGGTAACATTATCCCCCTCCTTTTAATCTATTACATTATTCATTATTTCAACTATTTTTGAAGTTTCAATTACATCATTGACTACTATCAATTCAGATCTTCTTTTATTATCATTAATCTATTTACAGTTACCTGATTCTATAATCATCTAATGTTTGTTCAATCCATGAGTTTTAATCACTAGTTCAATGTTCTGAAACTTTGCCTTCTATACTTTATTGATCCGAAACAAAAGGTTTTTTATGACTTTGTTAATTCAGAATCTTCGTTACATCATAATACATCTTTGATCATTCTATTATGTATAAGTATGTTAATATCTGTCATAATGTTGATTTTAGATTGTAAACAGCTAATGAGAACCTAATGAAATAAAACGAACCTATTTTTATTATTCTGCATCAATCTTTGTTCTTTCGTTCTTTAAAATATATTGATAGGTACAATTTATCAGGGATAAAATACTTCTGTACATGTTTAAATTACTATTTTTCTTATATAAAAAAAACCTAAACATCAATAGGAAGATTCAAGTAAACAACAATACCAAGATGGTCGCGCGATTTCGTGGATTGTTTGATGTTAGACACTAACACCATTGGATGCCGGCTCAGTGGTCCAGGAGGTTAAGCGTTCTCGTGCGAGACTGAGGGTTCTGGGTTACAGTCCCGTGAGCGGGATCGTGGACGCGCACTGCTGAGGAGTCCCATACTAGGACGAAACGGCCATCCAGTGCTTACACATTTCCAACAGTGGTCTAACATCATCTGATTCATGATCTCAATCAAATACCAAGTGAATTTATTTCTCCATCGTTTATTACACAACATAAATAAGCGTATTTTGAGATTTAGAATTGTAAAAGTATACAGCTTTGGAAATGTTGTTTTTTTTACTATTAAGCGCTATCATTTCTTTAAATCACTGATTGATAGACAAAATATTTTATGATCGAACGAGTAATAATTTATCGATGTTGAATAAGTTGATTAACATTAGATTGACAATAGACATTAGGTTTTTGATTGAGATCATGAACCGATTGATTTTAGACAACCATTGGAAATCTGGAAGCATTGGATGGCTGATTGGTCGTATTGTGGGACACTTCAACAGGACATACCTATAATCCCGCTCGTGTGATTCGGACCTAGGACCTATCAGTCTCTCACACGAGCGCTTAACCACTAACCACTAAGCCAGCTGGGATCCAACGGACAGTGGTAAAGTCTAACTTCAATTAATCCACGATATTGATCGATACATCCACCATTGTCATCAGCAAGTTACTATCTCACGACAAACCTAGTTCAACTCCAAATATGACAAAAATCAAACGAAAACTCTAATTATTGTTATCCTTAGTTGTTAAGATAAATTTTTATTTGATAAAATAAAATAAAACTTGATTGAGATGGTGAATGATTTTGATGGAGTTTTATTCTTTAAGGTGAATAATTTGGTTGTGAAGCTGATGATGTCATTCACAAGAACGATGAATGCTCCAAGACCAAATCATCCAGATCAGAAAACAAAACTGTATCAAAATCTTAATTATATATATATATATATACTTCTCATACATATATAGTTCCCTTTATTATGTTAAAAAGAGTAAAACCCAAAGATTGATGCAGAATAATAAAAATAGATTCATTTGATTCCGTTAGGTTCTCATTAGTTCCTTACAAACTAAAATCAACGTTATGACAGGTAATAACATACTTATACACAAGAGAGTGACGTATCATGATGTAGTAAACACTTCAATAGATTTCAATAAGATCGGATGAATAAAGTTGGAGTGGGATAGTTCCCGAATATTGAAAAAAAACTGATGATTAGAACTGATGGAATGAATAAACATTGAGTTATTTAAAATTTAGTGTTTGTATAATCTAGATATTAGTCTGTTTACTTAAAAAGATGTTTATCATTGTTTCTGTTTATTATTTAGTCAATTAATGTAAAAACATTTATAGATTATTGATTGAGATCATGAACCGATTGGTGTTAGACCTACATTGAAAACCTAGAAGCACTGGACGGCCCCGGGGTTCGAATCCCGCGAGCGGGATCGTGAATGCGCACTACTGAAGAGTTCCAAAATAGGATGAAATGGCCGTCCAGTGCTTCCAGGTTTTCAATGGTAGTCTAACATCAATCGCTTCATCATCTCAATCAAAAACTTGATAGTCTCCACAACACTTCAATCGATATTTATAGACTAGATGAAGTAATGAGTTAGAATAAATCAGTGGAGAATCCGGTTGTTTACTTATATTGAATATGAGAAGTATGTGTACAAATTCAATGGTGAAGATTTATAGCACTGATGGAGTTTTGTTCTCTTATCTGGATCATTTGTACTGATGATATCATTTAGAAGAATAATGAAAGTTCCACGATCAAACCATCCAGCTCTTAGAACAAAATTTCATCAAAAATTATCCATATGAGTTATAAATCTTTTGTATTATCTTTTAAGTGAATTATAATTTATTAGAACAACTGGATTTTAATGTTTTATATACACTTTAAATGACTACCGTATAGCCTTATAAAGTATACTTTAATTACTATATATTATGATATATTAATACAAATTTTTTTTTGATTCAGATCATGAACCGACTGATGTTAGTCGAGGATTGAAAACCTAGAATCACTAGACTACCGTTTCGTTCGATTGTGAGTCTAAACATCAATCGGTTTCATGTGATCTGAATCAAAAAGTAACTAATCTCTACAACCCCCATACTGTTGATAATAATATAAACACATGAATGTAATATGTCAATGATAATAAGTACTTATATCATGTTGAACTACTTCAATAGATTCAACTATTTATACAATCAATACCCATTCTCTTATCTAATAGAGTATGATTGAGTATGATTTATAAAATAGTTTCCTTTTTTTTAATTTACCTCTACATTAAAACAAAATAGCTATATATAAGTTGATTGAAAGTAACTATTCTTTTTATTTTTTATGGGCATGAATGTTCTAAGAATATAACATGTTAGTAGAGTATTATTTTCTAAGCTGTAAGAAGTTTCTCAGGAAGCTTTCAACACATTTTAGAATCTAATAGTTGTTTATAGCTGATTGACTAGGTGACTGGGGGAATAGAAAACATTAAAAACTTACATTTGTGTTACAATTCTCCCCCCTCCCCCCATCATAATAATTTAATAAATTTCGATTGTGTAGAATATTTGTATAGATCCTTTTTATTCCATAACACAATTCATGTCACTGTAGCCATTGATTTAATGATTTGTACATCATATTTAATATGCAATGTTAGTATAGCTCTTATTCATCCAAATGAATGAGTGTATCATGATCACTAAGAAACTATAACTAATGGTGACATTGAAATGTGTGTAAAAGTATAAGGCTGAAATCATATCAACTTCACCACCCTAAAATAATATTAATTTAAGATAGTTTTTTGACAGAACAATCAATAACATTCTCTGCATTCTAAATACGATGTCACAATATCAAAACAGTGACAGAATGTTTGGAATGCATTTATCCCTATCAAATTGCA